AAAAAAAAAAGAAAAAAGGATAAGCCCACTATTTGCTAAGAAAGCTTTTTTTTTTGTAATTGAAAAATTACTTTTCGGGACAAAACGTCAGTGAGGGCTAAAAAGAAGACAGCTGGTTTCCGTGTTGACGGTTGCATTCCGTTGCCTGGGTGAAGCAGAAGACAGTCGGGCCTTGACCAGATCCCTGGCACACTCGCGGCTGTGAGGTCCGTGCCGACTCAGAGCTTTCCTTTAGGGCAGAGCAGCACCACCCGCCCCTGTGTGTCTCGGAGGCGGCAGCTCGCCGGGAACAGAGAGCCTCATCTCTCTCCTGATGGTTTGCTTTGAACTGCTGACCTTACGCTTAGCAGCCAGGCCCACCCCCCTACTGCACCCCGGGCTCCTCTCACACACGGGGCCAAGCCAAACTTACTGCCACCGAGTGGATGCCGACGCCGAGCCACCCTGTAGGACAGGGTGGCTGTGCCCCGTGACTTTCGGAGACTCACTGTTTCAGGGAGAAAGCCCCTTCTTTCTCCCCCAGAGTGGCTGGTGATTTTGAACTGCTGACCCTGCATATCGCAGCCCAACGCTTAACCCCCGCGTGCGCTACCAGGGCTTCCCTCACACACGCCTGCCGGCAGCTGGCAAAGGGAAGAGCATCTTAGTAGCTGGAAAGGTAGTTCTTTGCCCACAAGGATGGCCCTGCAGGGTCACTGTCGGGCACAGTCAGTCAATGCCACCCTGATGACACTGAACTTGGGATGGGTCTTCTAGCCAGGTGTCATTTAGGGACGTATTGTTTCACGGAGGTACGCAGAGCTTCCAAATGTCAGCACCGTTCGTTTATATGCTGCTGTTGTTGGGTGGCACTAGCGACCCTGTGCACAGAACGGGACACGGCCTGGCCCTGCGCCCCCTCATGGTTGCTCTTGTTTGAGCCCATCGATACAGCCACTGTGTCTGTCCATTCTTGTCGAGGGTCTTCCTCTTTATCGCTGGCCCTGTCCCAAGCTGATGTCCCTCCCCAGGGACTGATCTCTTCTGACAGCTTGCCCAAAGTAATGAGTCTAAGCCTCGCTGTCTTTGCCTCTCAGGGGCACGCTGGCTGGGCTTTTCCTCAGACGGACTCGTCTGTTCTTTTGGCAGTCCATGATACTGTAGTCCGTGTTCTTCGCCAGCCCCGAACTCCAACACACGGATTCTTCAGCCTTCCCGAGTCCATGCCCGGCTTTCACATGCCTAAGAAGTGACTGAAGATGCCATGGTTTGGGTCAGGGTCCCTCAGTGCCCAAGGTCACACCTTTGCTTTTCAGTACTTCAAAGGGCTCTTGTGCTCTACCCAGCATTAGCAATGCCTCGCTTGATCTCTTGACTGATGCTTCCGTGAGCATCGACCGTGGACCCAAGCAAGATGATGAAGTCCTTGACCACGCCTGTCTTGTCCCCATTTACCATGACGCTGTCTCCTGTCCAGTTGTGAGGCTTTGGGTCTTGCCGACATTGAGTTGTCATCCACACTGAAGGCTACAATCCTTGAGCTTTCTCAGCAAGGACTGCAGTTCCTCCTCACTCTTAGCAGTGAAGAGTACCAGACACCAAACTTCCTGCCATCCGCCGATTGGACTCAGTGAGCCTGTGGGGCAGAGCAGAGCTGCTCCACAGAGCATCCGTCCGAGTCCGGGCAGCTGCAGGGAAACTGTCTGTGCCTTAGCTGAGCCCTGGGGGTCGTGGGTTCGAACCGCCAACCTGTTGGTTGGTAGTCCAGTGCCTGCCCTACTGTGGCACCAGGGCTCCTGATTCCCGAGAAGGCAGTTCGCCTACCATTGCCCTTGTGCCATCTGTACAGATCAGTCTGAATGCAGTTGTCAAGGGCAACGATACTTAGTATTACGGTGGAAAGAGCTCCGGGTTTATGGGTCCCCGAAAGCGTCCTGGGGACTCCTGGGGTCGGAAATTGTACCCTGGGAATTCCCGGCCCCATTGTTCTTCTCCATCCCACGGTTCCCTTTTGTCTATAAACATTTTTTAGCTTGTGTCCCCTCCCTCCTATGCTTTTGCCCTGCCCTGCTCCGTTTCTGTTGCCACGTGCGTCACGGTGGATTACGGGTTAGTTACCTGGATCGGGCACTGGCTGTGTCCCCAGGACCCGGTGCACAGGAAGTCGTGATGCACGCCTGCTCGGTCATTGGCCTTCTCTGTGCCTGGCTACATGCTGGGTGACAGGGGCCTCTAGTCCCAAGATACTTGCAGCCCAGGCGAGGAGTCAGGGAGAGTTCCACTGGGTGAGGGGTGATGGACCAAGCGCTTAGGGAAGTGGGCAGTGAAGAGCGGGGGGCTGCAGGCGGAGAGGGTCTGTGGCTGGGGGGCTCTGACAGAGTCCTCCCAGCATCTTTTAAAGTGTCCCTGTCTCCCTGCAGGTCACAGTTACCTGGAGAGGCTCCTGAATGTGGAGGTGCCCCAGAGAGTCATGTGAGTGACACCTGTGCTGGGGAGGGCTCGGCCCCCAGGCAGACCCCCAGCAGTTGGACTCCTTGACCTCCAGAGAGCCGCCAGCCTTTGCTCCTGGGGTCTTGGCTCAGTTCAGGCCTTGGAGGTGGACCCACTTTGCATCCTTCCCCAGGGACTGGTAGGAGGGCTCCTTGGTGGGGTCTGAGCTCCACTGGGCAGTCCCACAATGCCATCTGCCCACCTTTCAGCCCTGAGAGAAGGGAGCCCAGCCCGGAGGTGGAACCGCTGGAGGCTGAGGAGCCGGAGGTGAGGAAGGCAAGCCAGGGAGGGGGAGTTGAGGGGCTTCCGGGCCTACCCTCAGCTCCAGAGTACCAGGTGGAGACCCCCCTAGAGCCTTGGTTTTGCCCACAGGTCCCCAAGAACAAAGAGAAGACTCTGTTGCCCCGGAGCGCCACTAAAAACGCCACAGCCAGTGGCCAAGAGTCCCCTGAAAGGCCCCACGGTGAGCCTTCCCCACCCGCCGAGGGCAGATGTCCACTGGATGGCCGGCCTCCTGACCACGGCTTGGCTGGCGTTCCTCTCTGGGGCCAAGGCAGCTGAGTGATGCCCAGACAGCATCAACTCCTCCGAGTCTCTGGGTCTCATTTCCCTGTGGGCTGGAGCTGCCTTTGGAGTGCCACACGAGTGACCTAGCTGGCAAGGGCAGGACACCCTGGGCAGGGGCAGGACATGGGCAGGGGCCATTCACAGGTCAGGGCCGTGAGCCACAGGCCAAGGGGCAGCAGACTGAACTGTGTGCTGGGAGGGGCCCCTTGGTGTCTGTCCCTGCAGGAGGTGGTCTGGGGTCCTGTCTACTGCCACTTTGGGGTGGCCTGGAGGCTGTGAGGAAGCTGTCCCATGGTTACAGTGGCTTTAGGGATGATGGGCTGGCCAGCCCCACAGCCCCCTGGCGGGCTGCCCCTGAAAGACCACACACAGCTCTGGGTGTTAGGTGGGGGCAGCACCGGCATCAGTCATTGCTCAGGCTGCAGCTTTTGCCACTGGCTGCTCGGGGGTCTGCCAGGGAGTGTGTGTGTGTGTGTGTGTGTGTGTGTGTGTGTCCGTGTGTCCCTTCCGCAGGTCCCCTGTCCCCCCCGCCGTCATTGTCCCTGCAGCCGTCATCTTAAGAGTGCTCTCTCCACAGAAGCCAAGGCTGACCGGACAGATGGACCCGTGGAGCCGCCTCAGAGTGTCAGGTGTGCTTATGGAAGGGGCTGGGTGACAGTTTCGGGCAGCTCAGACCGTGGGACCCAAGGCCAGGCTGGTGGCGGGGGTGGGGTGGTGGTGGTGGTGGTATGGTCAGGGTCCCCTGTCCCCGCTTAGTGGGAGCTCTGAAGTAATGAAGCAGGTAGGAGATGCTTTGGGATACACGCTGGCCTGGGAGTGGGGTGACCTGCCCATGGACCCTGCCCCTTTGTCCCGCCTGCATGACTTTGAGTTGGTCGTGTCCCTGCTGACCGGGCAGCAGGGGGCCAGTCCGGATCCCTGGGGGCAGGGCTCGCTTTGTTTAGGGATGATGGACCTTGCGTGGGTGGGCTATGGCTGGGGATCCCAGAGGGGGCTGCAGGACTCCCCCCCTCCCCCTTGTGTTCACCTGTGACACCCCCCTCCCCCCAACAGGAGGAAGCGCAGCTACAGGCAGGCGGTGAGCGAGCTGGATGAGGAGCAGCAGGGGGAGGATGAGGAGCTGCAGCCCCCCCGGAGCAAGACCCCCTCCCCGCCCTGCCCAGCCAACAAGGTGAGTGGCACTCCACCAAGCTAGCCTGCTATGGCCTGACCAGGCCCCGCCTCTGGGCCTGACCGTGCCCTCAGGCCTGCACCAGCCCCTGTGTCTGACCTCTCTGAGAACCCCCAGGGCTGGTTCCGCCCCACCTCTGTGCCTGGCCCCGCCCTGTGAACCCTGACCTCATCTTGGCCTGACCAGGTCTCTCCCCTGGGCTTGACCCTGCTTGCCTGCAGGTGGTGCGGCCCCTGCGGACCTTCCTGCACACCGTGCAGAAGAACCAGATGCTCATGACCCCTACCTCTGCGTCCCGCGGCAGCGTCATGAAGTCCTTCATCAAGCGGAACACTCCCCTGCATGTGGACCCCAAGGTGAGGACCCTGTAGGCTCTTCTGTCTCCGGGTGGCTGGGCGATGGTCAAGGGCTAGCCTGAACCTCTGTGGTCCTGGGCCCCTGGGCCCCTGGGACACCTGGGATGTTGTCCTGACCTGCGGGCCCTGGGCTATAGCCTGTGGGTGTGGTGTGACTGGCTCAGTTGTGGCTTAGGGCCAGAGCCCTGGTCAGAAAGCTGGGGCACTGACCTGCCACTGCCCACTGCCCCCTGCTTCTGGGTGGTGCGTGGCTTAGATGGGACCCAGGTGGATGCACTTGCTCTGGGAGCCGAGGGCTGGGTAAGACATGGCTGAGTGCCACAGCAGGTGCCCAGCAGACCCCAGCCGACTCACTGGCCTGGCTGTGGCCCAGCCCTGCATTAACTCTTGGCTTTCCTTGTCTCCTTCCACAGTGCAGCTTTGTCGTAAGTAAAGCCGTTTTCTGACCCTGTAACATAGCTCCACCTAGCACTCACCGCCGTAGCCCCTCTCTGCATAACAGGCACCCGTATGGACGCTAACATGGTGGGTGGACACGCCTTCGGGAGGTGGGAGCCCGGCTGTGGCCAAGGGGGAGGCTGCCCAGGCCTTTAACATCTGGAGCTGCCCTCTCTGACCTTGGCCCTGCCCCTGAGGGGATAGGTCCCTAAG